GGCTGCACTCTACTAAGGATTTTTGTGGTCGACTAGTAGTCGTTCATTTGAAACATTAGTCGACTAATCGCACGTTTATTAATAAACCATTTAAATCATTATAATGAGTAATTGCCTACATAGCCTAATAAGCGCTGAAGCGCATGCGTAAAGCTTGCTACAGCGCACCGGCAGAAGTAATGATTGTGAATTTGTCAGGCAAAACAGTAAGGAGACTGCATTAACATTTTCATAATTTGATAAACTAGTGCTTTCTTTGTTTTCGGTTTAAGAGATGAAGTCGGAGACACTCATCTCCACAGTAGTGGATGCGCCTGTATGCATGTTTCATATGAATTACATAATCTGAGAATATTTGTTTTCCATTTGAATTTCCATGGTTCATTTGAAAGTAGACATTTCACTCTCTATAGATATATGTTTAATGTCTGTAAGGCAAAGATATACACAGAGTTTCGCGCTCAAGTTCACAGAGCGAGACTGCAGAAAGCGCATCCTGTTTGTGTTTGCTTTCATTCTTTTACAAAAGTGCAATGTTTTGTTGTTATTGTGAGTGCACACAAATAAATGTAGAGTCTTTACAGATTTGAAAGATGTATTACTCTTATCTGTAAGACCAAACATGACGGAGTATTTTAAGAGCAAGTGACCGCATCTGTTCTGCAGTGAGCGCTACTGTTCAGCTTCCACACTCCGCATAGACACTTGAATAGCGCACATTTTTCTAGGTTAACATTAGATTGAGCAGCCATGTAAAGTTGCTGCTACTTACATATTTCAGATGATACGCCATATTCGAGGCCGATGAATGATAGGCGAGCGTTTGGATGTCCTGCCCGATGTACTGTATTACCATAGGCTAGCCGTTAATGATCTGTCCGTCACAGACTGCCTGTGGATTTAAAAAAAATAAAAATTTCTGCGTCTAATAAAATTTTGATCGACCAAGCCTCTTCTACGGTGGCCGAGAGAGCTCAACACACTGCAACTTCAGAAAACACATGCAAATAGAATAAGCACCAGCAAATTAAAGGGGTCATATGACGTTCCTAAAAAGAACATTATGTTGTGTATTTGGTGTAATGCAATGTGTTTATGCAGTTTAATGATCAAAAAACACATTATTGTTTAACTACTTTACATTGGAAACATGAAAAAAAGCAAAAATTTCAGCAACATGTTTTTGCAGCAGTGTATGATTGTATTATAGTTTACAACCAGACAGCAGACAATTCACAACCAGACAACATGGAGAATGTTGAAAGGGTAAGTTAAGACATGGATCATCACACCAGTATACAACAAAATATGTCTACAGAAACGTTTATATAGGTTTATTTCATTTGTTGCTCACAGCACAAACAAATAAAGAAACGCACCGCAAATACTCACAACACAAAGAAACGTGCTGCAAATGCTCACAACACAAACAAATAAAGAAACGCGCTGCAAATTTTATTTATTTATTTACTTGTTTAACCAGGAAGGTCCCATTGAGATACAATATCTCTTCTACCAGGGAGTCCTGGTCAAGATAGGCAGCAAAGGACAAAGTTACAAAGAAATACACATCACCACACAATGAACAAACATAAAACACAATTTTCTAAAAACAATACAAATCCTAGTCAGTTATTAAAACATGTACACTGTTCTATGTAAACAGACTTTAAAATATTTTTAAACATAGCGAGAGATGGTACAGATTCCATATGTAATGTACCTTGAAGCTCATTCCATACATACGGAGCAGACTTACAAAAAGCAGAACGACCTATCTCTGTATGAAAAATCGGCATCTTAAGTAAGAGTTTTTCTGTTGATCTGGTATTATAAATATTTGTGCAATATGTCAACAAACTAGATATATGCTGTGGTAATTTACCCACTAAAGCTTTTAAAATAAAAATTAACATATGTTTTTTTCTCCTTAAGCGCAATTAGGTCCATTTTGTCATTTCATATAAATTACAGTGATGTGTGCGGACACTTGTACCAGTAACAATTCGTAAAGCTGCATGATAAACTACATCCAATTTTTTCAAAACATTCAGAGGTGCATGCATATAAATTATATCACCATAGTCCAATACTGATAGAAGAGTACTTTCTTCTAAACGTTTTCGAGCAACAAAGGAGAAACATTTTTTAAACGAAAATAAAAACCTAACGTTGGTCTCAATTTCTTTAAAAGACTATCGATATATGAGAACTATAAGTCAGTTTATCATCGAGCCAGATGCCAAGATATTTGTAAGATGCAACCCTTTTAATCTGTGTACCATTTAAAGTTTGAATCATAAAATCATTTAATGATAATCTGGACCATGTAAAAATCATGTATTTATTTTTTTTTAGCATTTAACACTAATTTTAAGTTACCAAGAGAAGTCTTCTGTAGCATTCTGTAGAGTCCATTGCCACTTTTAAAGATGGAGCCATAGTGTAGATGATAGTATTATCTGCATAAAAGTGTACATTTGCTGGCTCAACTCCTTTACCAAGTTCATTTATATAGATAGAGAATACAATTGGCCCCAAAATTGATCCTTGAGGAACACCTGGCTTCACTATTAAAGGAGCAGAAACATAATTATCTATGGACACACATTGAGTCCTTCCAGTCAAATAATCAGAGAACCACTTCAACACTATATCACTAAAACCTACACATTTAAGCCTTTGCAACAAAAGATCATGATTCACAGAATCAAATGCTTTCGATAAATCAATAAAAAGTGCAGCACATTATTTTTTATCATCCAATGCAGTTATTATATCATTAGTGACTGACATTGCAGCAGTTATAGTACTATGTCCTTGTCTAAAACCTGATTGAGTTTGACATAAAATATTATTAGCTGACAAATAGTACTTTAACTGTTCATTTACCATAGATTCAAACACTTTAGCTGTAACAGACAATCTTGAAATAGGCCGATAATTATCCAATACAGTGGAATCTCCACCCTTCAGTAATGGCCAAATAATTGCTGACTTCCAAGAACTTGGTATCATACCACTGTTTAAACTTAAATTAAAAATTGAAGCAATTGGTCTCGCTATTAAGTCTGCAGATATTTTTAAAAAGTAAGGCTCTGTTTGATCAGGGCCAGCAGACTTTTTACAATCAAGACTTATCAAGGCTTTATGAACCGGGGAAATAGGTATAAAATTAAAAACATTTCTTATAGAACTTGAAGGGATGGCCATATTATCTTTACCATCTGCATCTACAGAGAAACCAGATGAAGTTATTGAACTTATATTAGTAAAATGCGTATTAAAAGCTTCTGCTATATTATATTTATCCTTAATTTCTTCATTATTTACCTTTAGTAAATCGGGAGCTGCTGGGACCAACATAGACCCAGTTGATGATTTTATCAGCTTCCAAAATTTACTAGGATCATTAACATTTTTATTTATCATACTAAGATAATAGTCACTTTTTTTTTTTAATAATTTTAGTGCATTTATTCCTTAGTGCCCTATATTGTTCCCAATCACTAGCGTTATTAGTTCTTTGCTCACAACACAAACAAATAAAGAAACGCGCTGCAAATACTCACAACACAACCAAATACAGAAACGAAAGTACACAGACCTCAACGGGAGGACCCCAACAATGCCAAAATTACCCCAACAAAACGATGTGTTAATTATGTTTTTTTTTTTGTTTTTTTTTATTAGTTGTACAAATACCATGGTTAAACTATGGTTAGTGTAGTAAATCCAGCCAACAAAACGATGTGTTAATTGTTTATTTTTTTTATTTTTTTTATTGGTTACCATTTGTATAACCATAGTTGTACAAATACCATGGTTAAACTATGGTTAGTGTAGTAAATCCATGGTTAATTTGTGGTTACCATGATTGAACTATAGTAAACATTTTTTTATTTATTTTTTTACATAATAAATGTATTTATTAATTTTAATAGTAAAACCATATGGTTAATTTTTGTAAGATAAGTTGTAAAGTAAGTTAGCCAGCTTACATGCTTTCACAGTTACAGTAATTGTGTATTTCGTCAGCTTTTTTAGGCTAATAATTTCAATAAAAAAAAGAAGAAGCAAAGGAATCGTATGATCAGGATGTTAAAATGAACAAAAATCTCACCTTTCAGAGCAACCATTGATAAATATGTCCCAGCCATGTTTGTCACTTTGCGGTTCCCTTAAACATTTCCGATGTGATCTGTGCCTATTTGCAGCGCGTTTCTTTATTTGGTTGTGTTGTGAGTATTTGCAGCGTGTTTCTGTTTTTGCAGCGCTTTTCTTTATTTGTTTGTGTTGTGCATATTTGCAGCGCGTTTCTGTTTTTGCAGCACGTTTCTTTATTTGGTTGTGTTGTGAGCATTTGCAGCACGTGTGTTGTCAAATTGATGAAGATGTTTTCTTAATTTGTAGGTGTTTTTTCTATTTGCATGCGTTTTTTCATTTGCAGCGCGTTGAGCTCTCTGGCCACCGTACTCTTCTGATCAACTAACGATTAGTCGACTATTAGAGGGCAGCCCTAACTAGTAGTATACATGTAAGTGTACTATTTCAATACTCTTTGGGACTAAATTGGCCCACTTTCTAGTATATAAAAGTACACTTGTAAGTATGCTTCAAGTATAACAGTAGTAAATTTTGAGTACACAACTAGTTTTAGTTTGTACTGCAACTATACTAAATATGAACTTACTGATACTTTACTAATTAAATACTTGTAGCATTTTTAGTACACTTTGAAGTATAGTCTCAGTAAACTACTAGTTTAGTAGTTTTATACTGCAAGTATACTCGTAAGTTCTTTAAGTGAACTTTGCATCCCTATTTATTAATTTGTATATATTTTGTTATATGAAAATTTGAACATACAAAACATCAAAAAGAAGAACAGGGAATCTGCTTGAAAACAATAAAATTTTATTCTAGCTTCGTGCATTCTTTTTTATAAACACTTGAATGTGGGTAAGTTTCATAAAAATAAAAACATTTTAAACAAAAAGCTAAAAAAAGACTATGAATTGGATTCAGAATGATAATCAAAACGTAGATAAAGTCGATCAACACCCCAAAGCTTGACAGTGGTAAGTTTCATACAAATAAAAACATTTTACACAAAAAGCTAAAAAAAGACTATGAATTGGATTCAGAATGATAATCAAAACATAGATGGAGTTGATCAACACCCCAAAGCATGACAATCGTTATTACCTCTTCATGGGTCAACATTTTATTCCATAACGTTACACAGTTTTGGTGCTGTTTTATGTCTGATGATCATGTTAGATTACGTGTGGAAGCAACTGTTTTTCGGTTTCTTCTTTGCTCGTGTTTTGGAAGTTCTGAACAGAAGATGTGTAACAATGAAAACATTCTCGGAGTACAAGTATAGCTCAAATATATTTAGACAAAATATCAGATATACTCAAATATAAGTATAAGTCAAGTATACTTAAGTGTCATTTTATTGATCATATTTCTAAAAAGTACATAAAAAGTAAACTGAAAATATACTTTCCTATTTTTTAGTTTAAAAGTATACTAACTACTAAAGTACTAACTTTACTAATACTAACACTGTTTTTTCGTAAGGGGAAGCATGTTGAGTCCCAGTGTGAAATCTGTTTTTCTTTTGTTAAGAAATTCTGTTGTCTAATTCGCAAGGATTCGATCAAAGTGGTCTCCGAGAGCGAATATTGATGGATATTGATCAATATCAATATTGATGGCAAGGTCAATGAACTGGTCTAGGGTCCTCCCCTCACACTACCTCAAAAACTTGTGTTTAAAAACTTCCCTGAAGTGTTGAAAAAAGTTATCAAAAGAGGAGGAACACCAATCGTTCTCCTGTCCAGACTGTGGTTACCCAATTCAGTGCCTTCACAGTGAGTAATGAGCAGACAAAAAGAGATTTAACTCTCATCTGTGAGAGTGTGGGTTGCTAACCCACAAACATTGAGTATTGCATCAGGAACCCCTTTGACCTTGATGCGGTGCTGTCATATTTCTTTTGTGTAATTTTATTACTAAAGTGGTCTAATTTTAAATGTGTTATTTATTAAATATAAGCTTTAATAAACTTGCAGCTGTCAAACCAGAACACATGGATTGAATTGCAATTGTCAAAACAATCTTGAATTAAAACACGCACTACACATTTTTTTCCACAATGGTTCATAGCCATTAAAGGGGTCATATGATGCGATTTCAATTTTTCCTTTCTCTTTGGAGTGGTACAAGCTCTTGGTGCATAAATAAGATCTGTAAAGTTGCAAAGACTAAAGTCTCAAATCCAAAGAGTTATTCTTAATAAAAGTTAAGAGTCAACCACACCTACCTAAAACAGCTCATTCTAACACACCCCCACATGTCTACGTCACGATGTGGGAAGATTTTCAGTTACTCCTAACAGTACATTGACTAAACTGCTAAAAGAGAACCTATGATGGGATGTGCATGAGCAGAGCAGCTGGACTGAGTCTCGTCCTGCTGGGAGACGGCATCACAGTATTGAGGCAGTACACAACACTTGAGGCATTCGGCCAATCACAACGCACTGGACAGCTGGCCAATCAGAGCACACCTCGCTTTTTTAGAACGATGAGCTTTGTAAAAATCGACGCGTTTCAGAAAGACGGGGCATTGAGGAGAAACAATAATGTACATTATGTGGAAAATAATGTGTTTTTTGAATCTTAAACTGCATAAACACATTGAATTACACCAAATACACAACATAATGTTCTTTTTAGCAACGTCATATGACCCATTTAACTTGTTGCTCATATTTTCTGGTATGTGCCTTGCAATTATCAGCTACGGTGTAGCTTTTCTGAATCCAGGACCTCACATGATATCTTGGAGAAAACGTCTTTAGTCTAGGCTTTGAAGCTTTAGACTTGACCTTGCTGTTTATTTTTTTTATTTTTCAAGTTCTTTATAACATTGTGTTTATGCTTTATAGAAACTAGGGATTGTGCAACCCTGTTTGTATATACAGTCATAGCCAAAAGGTTTGGCAGTGATATAAATTTTGTGTTTTGCAAAGTTTGCTGCTTAAGCTGTTGTGGTGTTGATTCACATAGTTTCTAGATTATTGTGTAGAGTGATCAGATGCATTTTAAATAATTGCTAAAAGCTTCATTGGCCAAAAAAAAAGAACTTTTCACAAAAAAACGAACACCTGACACGAAATGACCAGCTAACATTAAGGACATGTTTACACCTGGTCACTTCATGCATTTTTTCTGATCGGATACCTATTTGCGGAACGATGTATGTTATAATACATCGTGTACACTCACTAAACAAGTGAGAGTGGAGAGATTCGTCCTCGCGCGAGCCTATCACAAGACATCTGGTAGGGGGGGCACCTGGAGAGATTCGTCCTCGCGCGAGCCTATCGCAAGACATCTGGTGGAGGAGCACCTGGAGTGGCCAGCCAGATTTCAGGGGGGCCGGTGCCACCACGTAGACACGCCCCTGCTCAAACCACTTCATGAGGTGGTCTGGGCCACATTCCAGACGAAACTGGACAAGTGTAAATGCATCTGGTTGTTGAAACCACATATGCAAATTTTACTCCCAAAATGTCGGTCTTTGATCTTGAAATGAGCTGATAATTAACAAAATGCAATGCTTATCTTTTGATTTCGTAGATGTGAGCGCCGTTAAATTTAAATATAGCGCGGGAATTGAAGCAATGGATCCCAAATCCCAAAATGGATTTGTTTAACCCAAGCTAAAGAATAATAATGCGCATTTGATCAGATATAACTGCAGTACAAGATTATGAGATGCATTATTTGAATGAGTGGCGCAGGTGTCACGAATTATCACTTACTCCACCGGCCTCGCTCCGTTCCCACGGCTCTCGTCGCCATCAGTCAGGACTTGGCCCAGTAGCTAATATCCAGTATGTCAGAGCGAACTGCAGAGGTTATGAATAACAAGGGTCATCACTGAAAATATTGACTAATTTTTTTGCCAATAAAAGCCTTTAAAACATATATGCTTATCATTGTTTTTCAGTATACTATAGAAACATGTGGAAAAATAATCTACAAATACTGAAGCAGCAAACTTTGCAAAACACAAAATTTATTTCACTGCCAAAACTTTTGGCCATGACTATATATTTTAGAATTAATGTCTGTATTGGGTATCTGAGTGGTGAATGAGGGTCTGACCCATTTTTACTAATTTAACCTGGCTTTCAGAGAATAAATATATATTTGTTTTGTAATAAATCATCTGAATCATTATATAATCAAATGTTATATTTTATAGAAAAAAGTAATCAGTTTGAACTTTATTCTTATTTATTTTATGTTGCTATTCTAATGACAGCTTTATAAGACGTGTGAAGGTAAGTGTGACTAGAGTCATGAAGCTCAATAATGCACCATGTGTACTTGTTGTTTTGAACTGCATACTTGGTTTACAGTTCCATTGGTTACTGTTGTCACAATGTCTATCTGGAGTGCCTACGAGCTCCTCTAGAGGAAGAGGCACCCCATCCTGTACCCTTTACCATTCACCCTGGACTCCATTTCCCATAATCCTTTGCCTGGACACATCATCAATTGCAATTACCTGTCTCTCACCACTTCATCAGTCTCCCACTATAAGAATGGCACACTTTTTGATTGTTTGCTGTCTGCCCTGATCATTGCCTGTTTGTGGATTATTCTTCTGCCTCTACCTGGGATATTACTGTTTGCTGTTTCTGGACCCTGCCTGTTCTGACCACGCTCTCTCTTAATAAAGCCTGCAAGTGGATCCCCAGTCCGTTGTCACGCCTCCTTTGTTACAACTGTATGTTAAACTGAATCATAATTAGAAATTTGTCAGATCAGGTTTTGTCTGCATGAACGTATTGTTCTGTTCCAGTGATGTACTGTAGCTCAATCTTGGATGACATCTCTTCCCTCTATGTTTACATGTTGACTTCAACAGCAGCTCAGAAGAGAAAAGTCGTTCCAGAATTTGACTTCTAAATGACCCTTAAATTTATGACCCTTAAAGTTGTATATGTATATAGAAAATGGGGTGCCAAAGAAAATGTCTTTAACTTGTGTCGGGGACAGAATACCATGTTTAGATGTTGCTAAATTATCTGTACTGTTAACCTATCAGAACCTGTAGAAATTATGTCAACTGATTATCCATATGACTATAAGTACTAGTGTTTCTGTATTCTAAGTTAATTCGAGGCTGTCTCCTCTTACTCAGTTTCTACGGCCTTTGGAAGTTTGGACAGTTCTGTCTTCAGTAAACTCTGTCAACTCAATGAACTTCAAATTTGACTCCTTGTCTTCACTGGGCATACTGGTCTGTCTATGGGGTTTAACTGTAATACCCCTACACACGCAAAACAAGAAAACAAAGCACTTGAGCATCTGTTTGCCAATGGCATGACTGTTAAATAAACAGCAGCAATGAATATAAATAATCCAGAGCCATAAGTATACACTAACAGTATCGTGCTATACACCAGACGTGGCTTTTACAAAGTGACATCTGCTCTGTGTGTTTGTGGCCTTTCAGTGATGTCTTTATGTCTTTGTTTCATCAGGTGTTCAGAACATTCTGTTGTTCTATAGCACCTTTTAGTTTGACTATTTAGAATAACCCAGTACTGTATATTTGGTGTTTTTTTTCCATCAAAGTGAATAAAGTGCCCACTTTCTTAAAAATTTAACCAAAAACATTTCAAACACTTTTGAGAGAGCTGTAAATATTGTAAACATATATCATTCAGTGTAAATCTTTGTATGAACATAAAGATTCAACAATTGAGCTATGAACTGAACAAGTTTCCCCAATGTGATGAGCATAAATTAAATAATGCTTCTTTGAACAAAGGAGGGTCCATGAGTACCACTATTTTGGCTTTACATGTTTAACAGATATAACTTTTATTGTTGCGAGAGCATTAAAGTTATTACATTTCCATAAATTACTTTCAGAATAACGTTTTAAATAACATAATACATTTTTAAAACATAGAAA